TGTGTCACGTAACAGGGATAGTAACCGCATCTCACGAAGTGCCCGTCACGTGCTGAATCACGTGTCTATCTCAGACATCGTGTATATAGACCTTTTCCTTTTGTCTATTTCTACTTTAATATGTTAAGCCACTTTTACCACACTCCGTATGCCCATTGCTGCGTGCCATAACTCGTGACAACTATAGACATTGACCAACAAGCCAGCTCCAGTCGTCTCCATCGGATTGTCCGAGGTCTCCGCATCCTTAAAATTTCAGTACGGCACACTTTGGCATCATGGCAGATAACCCCAGCGAGACAGAGACCTCAGGCGAGCCTCAAGACCCATATAAGCAGCCGACTACTGAGACAACTCACACGTCCATGGGCATGGACAGCATTCAGGTATTCCTAATTGGTCCGAGATGGCACTCGGTAGCTGAAGCATGTAGCCCGACCCGAGCGAGCCAACGCAAACTTCATCATCACAAACAAACGGATCTTGAATGAGATTGAGCAATCAAGTATCGGATGGTTCACCGGAGGTGTCCGCATCAGTCAATAGGGGAGAGCGATCACTGAACAAAACATGGGAAGGGCTTGCATATGGCGGATTAGGCAGTGGAGGCTTCTCCCAACGCCATTCATCGTGTCTAGCTAGACGTCCTTAGAGCACAAGAGCCCCATATTGGTTACGCGACTCCATGGAGTTTTCTCAATACGGTCTGCAAGTGGTATATTGGGCTACAGCGAAAGGACTCGATACTCGTTGATTGGATGTCGTGACGACGTGACAGATGTAAAGTGATGGGGAAGCGGAGCCGGCTTTTCTATCGATCCGAGACAATTGATTAGTCATTTTGATGATCATGTGACATTACTCTCCACATCCATTCTCTAACGAATTCCTGACAAAGCCAACCTGCGCATAGAACGAACCACAAGGCTTTCGAATCGATGCCCGCCACTCGAAGCCCCAAATCGTGCCTCTGACTACCATTAAAAATCTTGCCCATTCTTCTGACATCGTTCTAATTGGCAACGACTGCCGCCTCTGCCGCCGCCGACGTGCCATTGTGATAGCTATCCGACAAGCTGATACCTTGCGCGATGCTTACGTTGTCTGCGAAAACGAGCGAGTTGTGTTGCCTGTCATGCCAATTTTGGAAAGGCCGACGCATGACATTGTGTACGCCAAGTTCGGACTGAAGCCGCTTGTCGAAGAAGTTTTAAAAACTCTCTCAACGGACAAGAGACTGGTAGTGAAAGGGAATCCTGAACTTTACAGTTACCAATGGGACAAAGACAAGCACGCACGGTTCGTGCTGCAAGTTCTCCACTTTAGAGCTACGACATTGATCGAGACGCTCATCGACAGCGGCGATTCAGAGAGCTCGAGCTCTGCACAACGCTACACCATATCCCACTTGGCCCGCAAGAAGATGAAGGAGTCAGGCCTGTGCTCGCCGAGAGACTCGGGCCGATACCATCCTCTGCTCCTCCATCTGGAGTCCGGAATACAATGGATAGAAGAGAAGCAAATGGCTGTCATAGTGCTGATAGAGGTTGTCAATGGCGGTTCAGCGGAGGTCGAAATTCTGTCGCGGGACGGCGACACGCCAGAAACAGTCAGGAGCAAAATTATCTTGAGCAGCGGCCATGTCGTCCTGATTTACGGACCACACGGGTGGCGCTCAAGAGGGAAAGCAGTATCATTCCTGTTTCTATATTATGACGTTGTAGACTGTGACGCCGGAGCTAGTTTGGGTCATGAGGCTACCATACGTAACTAAATAGATTCAGTTCAGTGCGGATGCCATACTGAGGAGAGGTCCATTGAGTCATGAGTCCCTTCTGCGCAGTGGCTTTTGTAAGGGTCATCCTGAAAAGATAAAGGACCATTTTGAGGTTGCGCATGTCCGTTCCAGTTGACAGGACCTGACCAAACACTGTTGCTGTGTCGGTTGCCATCATTCGAGATCACGGGGTGATTTGACCAAGACTCCCCTGTCGGCCAATGCAAAGAGTTGACTTCTTTATCCGTCTGCAACGCGCGAGAATCAAATGGACCTTCGTGACTAGAGTAATGTAAAATTCCCGCGAGGTGCGGGATGGGACAAACGAACGCCGGAACGTTCTCGCACGGACCCGTCGATCGAGCCGTGGCAGATATTGCCTGGTTTGCACCAGGAACAGAGGGGTTGGGGGTAAACCCGGACGCCTTCGTTTTAGAGTGAGGCTTTCTCCGAGGGTTTGGCGGCGCCTTCAAAGAAGCGCATGCGTCAGAGATGTACTTCGATAAGGCCTCTTCTACTTTTGCGAACAGCTGCCTACGAGCCAGGGCGGCAGGTTCTTGCAGGTTCTTCCGGATTGCGTCTGCAGGAAGCTCCCAACTAGAGGGTGGTTTCTTGCAGCTGTGAGGGTCAGCAGTGTTCGTTTCGCAAGTATGGCAAGTTGCTCACAGTGAAGCAGGATCCTCAATGGGCACCGCCATGAGCGCGCCGTAACCAAATTCTCTCTGGATGTCAACAAAGACCTTTCCGCAGCGTGCCCATCTATCTAGACTTTTTCGAACTAGGCTTTTCAGCGGTGGGTTGAAGTTGCATAGTTTGTCATCGAATAACTTCTTTCCTCTGATGCCATATGTATCTCGACAAAGCTGGAGCTGTTTTGTGATAAGAATGGAAGCAAACCCCCGAATAAAGTCATTCTGTTCCTCTTCTAAGCACAAGTACCTCGTTACGTCAAGTGGAATTGACCCAAAAAACTTTTCAGGATCTTTTGCCCACAACACTTCGTTTTCTAAAATGCAGTCGTGGCTTTCGGCAATCAAACCAGCGGACCGGAAGGATAGTGCAGAGGCGAAAACGTCAATCTTCGTCCGGATTTGTAATTGAATTTCGCCTGGGAAGCTGGAGATCAACTCGACGCAGGCGTCAACAAGCTGCTTGGGTCAGTCAGGCCGACGAATTGGTGTGGGGCTTCTCGCACCTTCGAATGCACTTCGACTGTCTCCTGCCAATCATTGTGAGCACAGATCGCCAGTATGTCGCTGATAAGAATGATCGTGTTTCGACCCATCATGCATTGAGTTTGGAGAAGGAATGGCGGGATGTACACTCGTCCTCTTGAAGTTGAGGTCGTAAAGTTTACGAATTCAAGAGCCCAACGTCGTAAAATTTACGACTTTAATTACATTTAAAAAGGCTTTGTCGAGTGGAGCAGACTACCCCGGCTGATATGTGTACAAGCGTCTCCGTTAGTGCTCTGGCGCAAGCCAAGGGTCTCATTCTCAAACCTTCCCGAAAGCTGCATGTATGGACAGGGACATGCAGCAAGGGGGTGTAGCTATCGACAATGCACATATGCACAGACCATCTGAGGCCTCGGCTACTCATACACGACTGCACATACACGACTGCAACCCTCTTTGGGCTGCAGCTCTTGGCTAAACTCGTCCAAGTACCTGAATACATTCCACCTATAGATAGGCTGAGGGTAATTTCATCAATGTGACGGCTAACCCCCTTGATGGACAAGGTTGTCGGGTGCGATAGAGCGCCGGCACAGTGAGGGGCGTTGAAGCCATGGAGCACCTTCCTCGTCCATCAGAGTGATGGCAACTTCTGGACCCTACGCCCCAAAGTCCGTCATAGAGAAGTCAACGTTCGTCATAACTTGGAACAATGCAATTCAACCAGACTTTCGTTCCTGCTGGGCTCGCTTCCAATCAAATCCGGCGTGGGAATGTCCTGGGGCGCGAGACATGCTGCAGTGACTTCTCGGAAAGGGGCAACAGAGATACGGTCGATCTAGCCATGCAAAGGTAGTGCCCGTCTGGCGTCACTCCATGATGTGAATGGGCTACAGTGGCGAGCCCAGCGTGGCAAGCCTTAATTACGGCCGGGCGACTGACAAGAGAACAAGTCCGTCGCCCCGTTGCTGGCTTGCGGATGATGTGATCCGCGTCCTCGTGTAGTCTTCTCTCTGGTCTTACCATGTGATGGAGGCCAATGGCGGCCGTGCAGATTGACGTGGGCTTAAGGGAATCTAGTTGGCCTCGCTCCGAGATCACCGTACAGGTAGGATTCGCTGTACCAAACAGTAGCCGTAGCTTGAGGCAATCGTTTTCTGTTCCGCGGTCGAAAAGAATGGCCATCCAGCGGGTAATGTCTCTCGTGACAACCCTGTTGCCCCGTTTTCTCTTCTAGTCGAAATTTGCCCGACTTCACTGCGTGGTGACAGGGCCCTGTGCTCCACAATTAGCTAGGACACACGCCTATGTAGTCTTTTGGGTGTAGACGGCCCGATACCCTACGGCACTGCTTGTCTCCCCTGTTGGTTACCGCATAGCGGGCTAAAACCGCTCGAAGATGTGATCCACTACAGTGGGAGGCATGCATGTTCGCATTCTTCGGAAGCGATCGTCTGTCAGGTCCATCGCTCGATTCCCCGGCTCCATGGGAGGGCCCAAAACTCGAGTGAGAGCCTGGGAAGATGAATCTGCGGGCGATCGAGCGTACGCGCGGGTAATCTCACCCCCGCGCGCAGTATATTACAGGTGTGCATCACACACTCCCTTCACAGCAATTCGGGGGCCATCGATTCCAATCCAGCTGAACATGACGGGGATGTGCAACTACACTCAGCGCGAATTAAATTGCGGTCACATCCGGTGGATTGTGTCGCGGTGGTGTCCAGTGTACACGAAGACTCAACGACGATGCCCGCCTTGCGTTACGTTTTTCGAATACCGCGGCGATGAAGTCTGTGGTGAATGCAAACCATCCGCCCCAGTTGCATGGGAGAGCATGATTAGACGGTAAGAATTGTTTGTCGTTGCAGGTGTGATTTGGCTAAGCAGAACAGCAACAACACCCCAGTGGGTCTATAAGTCCAAGAACGATTATGGCAGCCTTAGGGACCTTTACGGGAGCGATGTTAAGGAGCTGGTGGAATCGGAGACGGATCTCGTTCCGGAATGCTCGGCGTGTAATCGAGTGCGAATCCACTAGTTCCGAAGCGAGTGGGATTCAAGGGAATCCGCAAACGATGTACTTATTGCGTTTGTGAAGGAGGTGGAGTTTCTTGATATTTCGTAAAGAGATTTGTGAAAGACCTCTGCCATGCCCTTGCGCCTCAGAGTTTTGGTTAGTGTCGTGATCGACAGTCGGCACTTCGTGACCAACATTGTGTGTGATAGGCTGTCATTGCTGCGAAGGAAAGTCTATCTGGCAATACCAGCTGCATGTTTGAGTTTGTGCGAGATCGACGAATGCCAAGACGAGCCTTTATCCGTGGCCACATTCAATCCATTAGGCATCATAATGCTGTTTTCAGAAATTGCTGATATTGCGGTGCTCGAATCATTTAACTGGCCTGTCCTGCCCCTGAACTGCGAACCCATTGAGTTAACTTGACGACTCCACTATTCTACAGTCTTGCGGATGAGACCTTATCAGACTGCAATGGACGGCTTTTTACGCTGGCTTGGGCATCCTGTAGGAGGCCCGTCATTGACGGAGACCACAAACAACAAGGTCAAGGTACGATTGTCATTCCTCGTTTCTGTATTCTGTTCCTAAC